AATCAAAAAAATCACTTATTTTGGACCGGATAGGAGTAACGTCTAAAGTGATGTTCAGATTATCAAATATATGCTTTTGAACATCAATTTGTACGCTATTTAATCTGACAGTAGGTGTGAACGTATTTACTATCTCGATTGATCATTAAAACATTTGCATAATATTAAATACTACTGTAAGTGAATGGTAAATATTTTGAATTTTGTACCTATATATTAACTTAAAATTTTGGAATCGTCTTTGTGCTCTAACTGTCCATGGATTAGTTTATTACCCGTTGAAACTTCAATATAGCTCTAAATCAGTGGCGGATCTACCAAGTAAGTTAGGGATTCACGTGAACTCATTAGCTTTTGCTTATATTTTATATAAATATATATTAAATATTCACTAAATATTTACAATATATTAACTTGAGATCGTTGTAACAAGCCATAACTTCAAATTCTAGATCTTTTAATTGTTATTATTGTATTGCAATATGGTAAAAGCGCTTTCAAGTTCAAAGTTATTGCTGAAACAAAGTAGCTCGTATCTTCTCTCCCGCATCTATTGTTGCTCGTGTCTTCTAACTGTTTGTCATGCTTTGACTATTTGACCGGTCCACGTGTCATGACATGTCATCTTCAATATTTAAATTCAGTTTTTTCCCAATACAGTAACAGTTTGTGTTGTGAAATGAAACGAGTAACTTTTCCAAATGGAGGGTAAATTTCATCAATGGTTATTCAAGTTAAACTTTGTAACACAAACTTCTTCTTTTTTTAGCATAAAAGTTATTTTAGTATAGCCTAGTTAATAGAAATATAAAAGTGACTGANGCTCTTGTTCAACAGCCCGGGATTCAGGAGTAGGAGTGCCTTCACGAGATTGACGTGGTGAATTTTGAGGGGAAGGAACCACGTTAATGTTTTGTAAATCACCTTGATTTTGATGGACTTGATGTTCATGGTTTCCCAAGGTATTCTCATTGTTATTGTTGTTGTTGTTGTTGTTCGACATGATGATAATAACAGATAAAATGTAACTTAAAGAGAATAGATTATCAGATTCCCGGTAACGGAACCAATTTGTTTAACCAGAAAACTGAATATTTGGTTAAAGCTAGAATTTAATAGAGAAATCGGGTTACTGATAATCAAGAAATAAGAGATTTTGTGAACAACAATAAAGCAATGACTAAGAGTATATTTCAGTACAATCGGAATGATATTTCGTGTCTTACAGATGTTGTGACTTTCTCCTTTTATAGTCAATTCTAAGAGAAAGTGTAATACCTTTGTCTTAATGAGGCAATTACGGGCTGTAAATGACATTAAAAGAAATGTTATTCAATCATTCTTATTAAATACAAATTCTCTAACGTATTTGGCATTTAATGTTTGAATTTTGGACTCTTTTTACGCTATCAGATTCATATCTTCAATTCCTTTTGATCTTCGAGCTTTAAATGGCTCGAACAGGTACGAGTCTCGTTTCATCTGGATAGTAGCTCGTATCTTCTCTCCCGCATCTATTGTTGCTCGTGTCTTCTAACTGTTTGTCATGCTTTGACTATTTGACCGGTCCACGTGTCATGACATGTCATCTTCAATATTTAAATTCAGTTTTTTCCCAATACAGTAACAGTTTGTGTTGTGAAATGAAACGAGTAACTTTTCCAAATGGAGGGTAAATTTCATCAATGGTTATTCAAGTTAAACTTTGTAACACAAACTTCTTCTTTTTTTAGCATAAAAGTTATTTTAGTATAGCCTAGTTAATAGAAATATAAAAGTGACTGAAAAATATTAATTTTGGCCGAAAAATTGACGTGGGCTATTCTAATCCTCTAATTAATTTATTAAAATTTCACACAAAGTCATCTTTTACATCACAAAGATGCTTATGAATAGAGACGAATTCAGAATTTTCACTTAATAAGTGTCACGCTTCACGGACTAATTCTTTATAATAATGGATACAATATTGAACAGACAGTAAAAGATGAAACGTGTATTGTTTGGCTAAAACTCAATGTTACTCTCTTAATATAGTGTGATATTGTCAGTGGCGAAGTTGACCACCCTTCGTTGAAAAATTACATTGTGTATATAGGTAAAATATTACGTTTTAACGGTATATAACACATATTGAACACCCTTTGTCGGAATTTTTTTTTACACTTCTTTCAAATTTAAACACCCTTGAAAAATTTTCTAGAGACACGATATTGTCCGCTTTTGACCAAGTCTGTATCATATATCCAAAAGGCATCTAACCATTAAGAGATTCCCTATTTTATATGTAGACTCCCAATCAAGAAAGTGTATGGACTTATTCGTGGAGATTTTCAGAAAATACCATGGAGGAGATTGATATGTAACAATGCTGGATTACCTAAGTGCTGTTATCTGTCTTGGCATTGCATAGGAGACTCCAAACAAAGAAACGATTGCTTGCTGGGCTAATTAAGATGACATGGACTTTGTCTTATGCTTGAAGGAAAATGAAGACATTGATCACCTATGTTTCAATGTGAATATGCAAAACAAGTGTGGTCCAAACTGTTGATATGGCAAGGCATCAGCAGGAATGCTAGCAATTGGTAGTATGAAGTCACTTGGGCAATGGAACATGCAAAAAGGAAAACTGCAGATCAGAAAATATATCGGATGACTTTAGCTGGAGGAGTATACCACCTGTGGCAAGAAAGGAATGCAAGGATCTTTATTAAGACTCAATTGAGAACTACTGATCAAGTGACAAGGCAAGTTATAAGAGAGATACATCAAAGAGCACGTAGAATATATAGGCTAGACAGGCACATGCAGTTACTAAATTTCTATCCATAGAGGCTACCTGTGGAGCAGTAGTGGGTTAGATCCGATGTCAAGTTTGTGACCTAATGTCCAAACTGCTTTTTTTTATTCTCGGAGTTGTAAATATTTTGAGTGATAATATAAACAGTTAGTTACCATTTTTTAAAAATTTTGGTCATTGATGTTAGCAAGCTGTGATCATAACGAAAACAGCTGATCATATTTGAACCTACAAACTAAATGCAAAAATTAATGCTCATATTTTATTCACTTTCAAAATCACCAATTAACGTACAAAAGATTAACAAACTAAAAACTGCTACTCATACTTAATTCATTTACAAAATGCGTCCATTGAGCAACATTAACCCAAAAATACTGCTTAATAAATAACATAAATAGTAAAGAGTGTATAACACAGTTGCGAATTATAGACCTCAACGGTTGTATTTAAATTGTAGATTTAAGACAAAATCCGAAATATCCCTCAAGATACTCTAATCTTAGAAACTCTAGACTTCTTTTTAAATACGTTACTGAGATATTTAGTCATGATTATTTTCTTCACACTCCTGCGTCTCTTAGAAATACCAACAACATCCACGTTAGTTTTTCGTCCAAAATTTGCATTTTTTGTTTCAATTCAAAGTTTTTAATCTATTTTACTAAATTAATTAGAGGATTAGGATAGCTACGTTATTTTTCCGACCAAAGTTTATATTTTTCGGTCACTTTAATACTTCTATTAGTAAGACTATACTAAAATGACTTTTGCTTTACAAGAGAAAGAAAAGTCATGACTTTTGTATTACAAAGTTTAATTTGAATGACCATAGGTGAAATTTACACCCGAATGAATGGTGTAACCGATATAAAAAATGATTACTGAGAGTCGAACTTGATTTTCTCCTCATATATTATATTCGGAGCATATAAGCTAGATATCTTATTAAAATTGTCAATTATCACACTGTACTACGACTAAGTAAATAATAAATCCTTTATTTTATTCGAAATTTTAACCACTAAAAATATCTTGTAATATTACATTACGAACCTTTTTTAAGAAATAAATTATGTCAAGGAAGAATTATGGTTCCCAAATCAATATGTCGAAACATGTTAATTTTGTAAAGAAGCAAAATATAAATTAAGACAATTTAAAAATTTGAAGCGCATATTTCAATTCCTTCGATGCTTGTACATACTGCAATCTTAAAAGTTCAAGAACACTGTCCTACTCGTTAAGTTGAAGGACACAAGATAACTTAATCACATCACTACTATACCACTCATTGATCTTAGACGTAGCAACTAGCATCTCCTGCATCTTCATTCTAATGCTAATATCTCGTCATATAAAGTTTGACATTTGATTCAAAAAGTCTGAAGAGAAACTATGAAAAAACTGAGGAAATTAATCTCAAGGACAATAGGTCCAGACTCCACACTCCACACCCTATGTAATGTATGTCTTAATGTTTAAAACCAGTAAAGCTCATTGTCCAAGTTTGACTTTCAAATCCAAGTGCGTAACGAGAAACAGCAAATCCGAAATTATCGTTTGTTTTACTACCAGGAAAACAAAGTTGATATCACCTGCACGGAGGTTTATGAACCCAAACAACATCATCTTCGCATTTTCTTAATACAAAGATCTAAAGATATCTATATTGTAACTCTGAAGACGGAAAAATATGAGTAGGAGTTTGTTTCGGCAATGAGGGCAAGAGAACTTCAACGGACTTTAGCAGTACTATACTTAGCTTGACATTATCTGACACTTAACTACCGGAGAGCTTGTCTGCCGTTTTTGGTCTTTTTGAGTTCTGGTTCTCTTCTTCCATGGCCTTCAATTTGTTCTTAATTGCAGCTATTTTGGCAGTCTTGCTCATTTGCGCCGAAGAGCCAGCAACAAAGTTGGATTTACTCGTTTCACCACCAGCTCCAAAAGAGCTTTCAGCCCCTTCCATAAAATATTTCTCGCTGGCAAGCCTAACAACCAAAGGCCGCCCACAGACTAATCTTCCATGCATCTTCTCCTTGGCCAGTATAGCTTCCTGCATGCTCACTTTAAACATAGAAATCAGAACCTACTCTCATTGATGAGCAACTGAGATTCTGCAACTTACCTCTTTAGTACTAAATTGGACAAAAGCATAACCACGTGGCTCCCCACGCTTAGGACCACGAGTGTGCCACAGGAAGTCTTCAGCTACAATCTTCCCATAGGGGGAAAACATCTTAATAAGAGCAGCCCTGGTGTGAAAAAATAAATAATTAACCAGGTGAAGCAAATTCTTGGCAGTGTAAGTTACCAACGGTACAAGTTAACCAGGGAATTCGGATGCAGAGATCTATCCTTACTCTGATATTCTAAGATCAAGGTTTCCGACATAAAGTCTGCTTTCAGACTTATCATCCAAAAAGTTAATAGGATCCTGCAATAACATCAAAAGCAGCCAATTAGCAGTTGCCAGAATTACTGTTACAAATAAAACATTCCAGAGTAACTTAGATGATAAAGGCCTGCAGTTATACTTTATTTCTGGAAAACTTTAGGCAGTGAAAATTCTGTAGAACTTCTGAAAGCAGATGCTCTTTCAAACAATGCCAGCATAAGCCAAACATTTATGAAACTGAAACTAAATGGGCCAAATTAGACCTCTCTATCTAATCAGAAGTCACAATGAAAGTATGATATATTGCCCTTCTTTTTTTTTTTTTTTTTTAAGGGGGGGGGGGGGGGGGGGTGGTTAGGGTCGTTGGGTGTTTGGAAGAAGATGGCAATACCATGCAGGCAACAGGACCTGGTAAACTATGCAGGCATCAATCCACAAGCAAAATCGAATATTTGGTGTATAGAGTACTGCGGCCGCGTAACACCTGTATTTAGAAAGAAAGTTTTAGTTTAAAATATTCCAACAAGTAATATATATTTCTTTCACTTCAGCTGCAACATAGCTGAGCGTGAAGTCCACTCACTCTTCTGAACTTAAGAACTCAACACAAATCATTTTGATTAGGCATGTCAGATAGAGAAAATACCACCAAAATCCATCCCTTCTTTTCTTCTCCTTCTGTTTCTTAACCCAACCCAAAAAAGAAAGCTTCTTATTCTCCATACCTTTTCATTCTCCGATTTCCAGTCATCCCAATTGTCTAAGGGTCTTCCTAAAAGCAAAGGCATATTTCCCAGAACATAAGCATTTTTCCACTCATACTATTCTAGGGAAACAAGAGGGAATGACAACCAAGTTCACGGTTAAAGCAATGATTTCAATTATCATTCAATTTTCCACAACGGCCTCGAATATCTGGGTTCCTCTCACCTCCACAGAACCCCACCTTGGTCTGGGATGGAAGGAGATAGGGTCCCTACTTCACCTTTGGACCATAGATGAAAAATGAACAACTTGCCCTATGAATTTCAAAGACAATACCAACTACTTAGGATCACGGATTAGTCATGTTGATACAATTATATATGATCCCATGCTTAAAAGGAGTCATTTTGATCTTTTACATATTTGTTGTCAGTAGAAAAATAGAGAACTTCTAGTATTACAGAATCCCAAGTTATTGAATATTGGAATGATAAGGGTAGAAATGGAGCGAAATGGATAATACAATTCATAACCCTTAAGATGAGGTATAGTTGTTAACACCAATACCAGGATGTACCCCCCTTGCCATCTAAAGCTAGGGAGTGGATGGAGACCCAACTTCACCTTTGGGCCATAGATACAAACAAAAACAACCCGCCCTATGAGGTTAACTAAATTCTCAGGACCCCATGCCATCTATCTAAAAATAGGAAAGATCTCATCCGCAGCCAATTGGTCTGTAGAAGCCTAGGGGATGGGAGGTAAACTGAACAACTTTCCCTGTGAAATTTAAAAATGAAAAATTGAACTCTCAAGAGTGAATACCAGGATGTTCCTGGTTGCCATCTACTATCATAAAATTAAGAATATCTCCTCCTCAGGCAATTGCATCTTTTGGCAAATCATTTTCCCAAATACTCCTATAATTTACCAACAGTAACATGCCATAAACCTTCATTTTCAGATCATGCCACTATCACTATCCTGATCATGTTTGATATACACAAATAATTTGTCATGCGCTGCTAACCACTCAATAGAGAGATCACACAACTTCCACTTCCAAATCCATCTCCTTGCCCCTTAACTTTTTACACTTTCTTCTCAAGTAGCCTTTCATTTTCCACATTGACAATATTCAATTTTGCCTCTCTGTATCATAGAGTCGATTCCTGTTTAGTAAACCCTAATTTAGTTTTCTAATAAAAGAAGCTAATCTATATACCACCACCACCCACCCCAAGTTGGAACTCACACGTTTACCTATATTTGCTTACTTTACATGGAAAAAGAAGCTCCTAAATACCACTTATGACCAACAAATTCAACCAGAAAGATTCAGCATAAATCTAGCCTGTTATTCACGACATGTTATTCAACATCAATTCCTAGATTAAAGAGAATTTAGAGGGAACATGATATTAGCAATTTCTAAAGCTCCAATAGCATAGAACTAGAGTATTCAACAAACCTAGCAGAAAATGGGAACATATCTAGGCAAACAAAAAGACGAAATATTGAACTAAGCTTACTTGAAATTTTTTGCTGGATTATTTGTGATGAACTGGAACCTGCCCGAAACTCCCCAGAGAATTAACACGATCAGAGACGACAACGTTTTTTTCAACGAAAGATTCGTTTTGTTCCTCTTTTTCTTCTTCTTCTGATGATGATGATGATGATCTCCGTTCCCTTGTATCCGACGTTTGTGTCATGTATTTGGGTCAGTTCACGGTATGTCCAATTACTCGGCTTTCTGCCAGTCAGGCCTAATTAGATTTTGGGATTGTTACACAAATAGCCGGTCAAATTGATTGTTTACTTTTTTTAGTCGGTATACATAGATTGTACATTGATTATACATGGTTATACATATTTTATTATTCATAAATTACATATATATTATACATCCGCCGGCTATTTTTAATTTAAGAGATTAGGTGAGCGGCTATTTGGATTAACTCTTCTTAGATATTTTTGAATCAAGATTCAGCCCGCCAACAAACAGCCCAACTAACAGTAATGTTGTTTCTCATATAAAGTAGAAGAATTAACCTATATAGTCGTCCACCTAACTGTTTAAATTAAAAATAGTCAGCATATATATATATTGCATGTATAATATGCGTAACCTTGTATATTATTCTAATATATGTATATTGGGTAGGAAAAGTAAGCAATAAATCTGTCCGTCTATTTATGTAAAGATCTAAAGTACTAGTTGTAGACACTAAAATTTTAACAGATCAAGATAAATCCTAAATTCAAGACAACTCTTGAAATATTAGGAGTCTATTAGGGTTACTTGGTGGCTACTCCACCCAAACCCTAATTCATGCCTGTAAATAAGGCTACAATAAAATCCTTTTTTTCTTTATACTTGTTTGTGATTGCAGTTTTAGTTTTCCTGCATAAAATTTGTTGCAAACACTAGTAATTCTATGGTCACTTTTCAATATTGATGTTTCAATGTCCGAAAGAAAAATTGATGAGCGTATAATTAAAGAATTATATTATGCACAATTCTGTTATTCTAATTTTCTTTTCTTAATGAGTGTATACGGTCGAAATCATGTATGCCCGATTTTCCGGGCTCGAGGGGTCACTTTAAGCCCGAGTTCAGGCAAGGTCGAGTTTGAGCTCGATGGACCAGACTCGAGCTCGAAGACAGAGTGCAATGCCTGAGGATCGAAGTACATGAGTATCGAAGCCGAGTATGCTCAACCCCGAAATAATCCACGTCTCTAAGATCATGGCGTAAATTCCGGAACAGATTCGTACAAAGGCGGTTAGATAGCTGTCACAATAAGATTCTTTACTGTAAATAGAAATGTACCTTATTTAGGATTCCCCTATTATATAGAGGGGTCCCCAATCATTTGTAAACATCATCATGTAACGACCCGACCGGTCGTTTTGATTTCTAGCGCGTCGTTCAGCAGTTTGAGGCCATGAGCAGCTTCATTTCAGGTATTATGACTTGTACGCGTGGTCGGAATTGAATTCCGGGAAGTTCGGAGTGGATTTGAAAAGAGAATTCTCATTCGGAAGCTTTAAGTTGAAAGAATTGACTAGGATTGGATTTTTGAGTAAACGTCGTAATCGGGATTCGAAGGTTCCAGCAGGTTCGTATGATGACTTCGGACTTGGGCGTATGCCCGGATCGGGTTTTCGATAACCCGGGAGCGTTTTGGCACCTATTGTGAAAGTTAGAATTTTGGAAGAAATCTCATAAGTTTGGGTTGAAGTGCATTTCAGTGTTATCGATGTCCGTTCGGGATTCCGAGCCTGGGAGTAGCTCCGTATGGTGATTCTGGTGATGGGAGCGCGATTGGAAGTGAATTCGGAGGTCAGTGGGTCATTTTGGATTCATTTGGCTAAAGATAGAAATTTGAAGGTTTTTGAGAAGTTTGACCGGAAGTGGACTTTTTGATATCGGGGTCGGAATCCGATTCCGAAAGTTGGAGTAGATCTGTAATGTTGAATATGACTTATGTGCAAAATTTGAGGTCAATCGGACGTGATTTAATAGGTTTCGGCATTGGATGTGGAAGTTAGAAGTTCAATAGTTCATTAGGCTTGAATCGATGCGCAATTAGTAGTTTTGATGTTATTTGGTATGATTTGAGGCCTCGAGAAGGTCTGTGTTATTTTATGGAGCTGGTTGGTGTGATTGGAACGGGTCCCGGGGGCCTCGGGTGTGTTTCGGGTTGTATTGCGCTCTTAATTGATATTTTAACATCGTTTCTTTAGACATAAAGTGTACCATATTAAGCAAATGAGCTCCAAATTAAGTTTTTAATGAATCATTAGATCCGTATCGTAATTACGGAGCCATAGCAAAAAGAATCGTCTAATTTAGACATCGTATGAGGGAGTTATGCTCATTTCCGTGTCGGGAAAAATTGTTGGTTTCTGGTGTGAAGATTTGTTCTTCGCGAACGCGAGAGGGGCACCGCGAACGCGAAGAAGGATTTAGGGGTTGAACGGTCAACGCGAAAAATTGCCCATCGCGAACGCGATGCTCTCCCCCGAAGGCGATGAAGAAAAATCGCCTGGACAGTGTTTTAAACCGAGAATTTTAGTATTTTGGGGATATCTTGAGTTCTAGAGCTCCGTTTGAGGTGATTTTTGCGGCGTTGTTCTCATCTCAACAAGGGGTTTTGGATCATTGTGCATCGATTTGACTCTTCGGAAGGGCGTGGAATGCCGGTTTTGGAACTTCGGAGCGAGGTGAGTCTCCTTTCTAACCTTGTAAGAGGGAATTATCCCCATAGGTGAGTTAATTGGTTATGTGTTCCTATTTGTGGGGGCTTTGTACGCACGAGGTGACGAGAGTCCGTGCGTAGCTACTATTATGTTATTGTCCGGGTAGTCTAGGACCCAAAAGCATGCTGTACTTAGAAATATTTGTAATCTTATTGACGGTTTGAATTGCTTAAATCACATCGGATTAGTAAGTGAATTTCTAAAAGATAGAACTTCATTTTCTTGAATTGTTAAAAAGAGAATTGGATTTTCCTTGGATAGCTTCTCCCTGATAAAGTCTTGATTAACTGTTCGAATATGTGATTCTATATGTACCTGTGTCGCATGTATGATTCGTGAGCAGGGTGTGTGTTTATTTATGTTGACCGCGTAGCATGCATGATTCGCGAGCGGGGTAATAGATGCATCTATGGTTCGCGCCATTCGACCCTCTGGCAGTGCACAGTTTAAATATTGTTGGATCGGGGTGTACGTCCTCGGCATGATTTGCGCATGCTTGTATTGCTTGCCTTGGAACTTATTGAAGTCGTTATTGCCTCTTTCCGGCTTAAGAATATATGTATAAATGATGAAAAGGAAATTTGGAAATTTCTATAAAAGAAAAAATTATTTACTTGCTTCAACCTATTGAACTACAATCATGTCTATAAAAATTCACGATTTAATATATTATTGATATAACATTATTGGACCACTAGTAAGTGTCGAAGTCGACCTCTCGTCTCTACTCCTTCGAGATTAGACGGGATACTCATTGGGTACACGTTGTTTTCGTACTCATACTATACTTCTGTGCATTTTGTTGCACAGGCACATGCATCTCTAGTGGCCTAGTGGGCGTAGCAACATGGTTGATACAAAGACTTAGGTGAGCTGCACTTCCTGAGACGACCCGCAGCCAGCAAGTCTCTTTCAGATTACTGTATTTATTTTTCGTCCAACATTGTATTCCGTATGGTTGTTGTATTACATTATTTCTTAGAAATTGCTCATGCACTTGTGACATCGGGTTCTGGAATGTCTATGGGTTTATTCAGAAATTTTAAACGTTGTTAAATGTTTTATTATCTATTCAGTGGAATTTACTATGTATTGTTTAAACGTATAAAAGAAGTGATTTCGAAAATATTTAAAACGAGAATTTAATTAAGTATTTTGGTTGGCTTGCCTGACAGCGGTGTTCGGCGCCATCACGACCCTTAATGGATTTTGGGTCGTGACAATCTAGTCATTGGCAAAGAATATGCTCTCTTACTTTTCTCGCTCACTGTTCATCAGAATTATTCTTTAGCTTTATTATTCTTGCTTTACTGTTCTTAATCCATCTCGAGGTCACTGGGCTCGAGGTCGATACTGCCTAGTAACACTGGTTTGATTTGCTCATTTCTTTCATTTATACGTTATATTTCTTGATTATTAATTGGTAATGAACTAAATCATATATCATTAAAACCACAAATCAAATTTAATTGTTACTCATATTTTCGAGGTAAACGGTTTGGCGCCCACCGTGGGACTAAAGATAGTAGTGATGATTTCAGTATTGATTCTGATAACACACGTTATTTTCACACTTGTTCTTGTCAAGATTTTTTGTTCTCAGGATTAAACATGTCAAACTCGCAAAACGCACATGTTCACGACAACGAAGGTCTTGGATTTCATGGGGAAAACAACAATGTAGGGGTCGTTGTACCACCGATAAACCCTGGGGAAGTGCCAAATATGGAACCAGTTGATGTTAGTTCGCACATTGCTTTGAATGCAGATTAAAGGCAAACCCCGGAGGAAGTGTACACAGGGAAGCCCGATTTGGGGGCCAAGGAACACAAGGTATAGTAGATGGGGGAGTCAGCCTCCAAGTGATATTCGAGATGTTGCAAGCTCAGCAGATTGCCATCGCTCAACTTCAGAGTCAGAATAAAACTCCGAGTATAGCCGAACCAGAAAACACTCAACGTGCTGAACCGGCGCCAGATAGGTCAAACGAAAATGGCTCGGGGACTGACCCCACCAATATGAGAATACTCGAAGAGCTTACCAAGAGGATCGAGTCCGGGGAAAAGAAGATTGAAGACAATGACAAAAAGATAGAAACTTATAACTCCCGTGTTGACCATATACCAGGGGCACCCATGATCTTGAAAGGTTTAGATGCCAAAAAGTTCATACAAAAACCACTCCCTCAGAGCGCGGCTCCGATGCCCATTCCTAAAAAGTTTCGCATGCCCGATATACCCAAATATAACAGGACAACCGACCCTAATGAACATATTACCTCAGATACTTGCGGGATTAAAGGAAACGACCTGAACGATTATGAGATCGAGTTAGTATTGTTGAAATTTTTTTGAGAAACTTTGTCGAAAGGAGCCATGATTTGGTACCGCAACTTGCCCCCGAACTCTATCGATTCATTTGCTATGTTAGCAGATGCCTTCGTGAAAGCACATGCCGGGGCCATAAAGGTAGTGACAAGGAA